AAACAAACAAACAAACAAACAAAAAAAAAAAAAAACGAAAAAATAAACCTAGCATCATGTTCTTAACTTCACATGACTTTTAGGATATGCTGAATTACAGAGGGCAAGGAGTGAGCTTTACTAATAGAAGAAAATGTAGACGTGCTGCCAAGGTGAGCGTACTAATAGGAGGTAACAAGCAATTCTGTGTCTCTGTGCTTTGCCATAATTATTTTGCAGCACCAGACTAATCTAACCTTTCTCTGGGACAAAACTGGTGCTCTCCCTAACAAGGCTGCAAGGGGCAAAGTATGTGAATAGAAAAGCTCCCCAGGCTCACTCGCCTCTACTTGGATGGGCATCCTGGTGAGAAGAAATCATCTCCCTTTGGAGAGGACACACAGGCTTTCTTTGCGCTGAGACCCTCCCTCGATCTATGGGCCTCCCAGCATTCTCCTATCTGGACTGGGGACCCTGAGGTGACCCACAAGGCAGATGGAGGTAGCCTGTGTCCTTCCTAGTGCATCTCTTGCCATTTTAAAGAAACAATTTATTTTTCTGCTCTTTGCTTTTTACGTCCTTACCTTCCGTCTGCACGGTCCCCTGGGGGCTCAGGGGCAGGTTCAGCTTGGGCTGCCTGACAGCCCCTTCCTCTGCATCTCTGAGACTCTTCATCACCATGGAGACACTGGGCCCTGGGTTAGATACCTGCACGTTGACCATGAACCAAGTAGCCTCGGGTCTGTCCTGGAGCAAGTAGTGGGAGATCTCACAGTTCACCAGCTTCCCACTGCAGTCAGCGTGTAGCAAGGCTGCAGCCTGCCGAATCTGTACCCTGTCCACTGGGGAGAAGGGGATGCACAGAGGTTGGGTTGATGTGGGCAGGGACAGGTGGGGGCCCAAAAGGATAACACAGAGTGGGCAGTACTTACCTGAGGCCTCAAAGATAATGAGAGGGTCATCCTTGGCCACTGTGTCCCCTTGGAAGTCAGTGAAGCCTTCCAGGGAACCATCATCCAACACCGGCACCTGCTTCAACACCAGCAAGGCCTTCTCCCTGTTCATGTCGCTGGCAAAAGCCCTGGGATGCTCAGCTTCTGTTACCAGGAAGCAGTCTAAGGTCACGTCCACTGCCCGCTGCTGCCTTTCTGCCACTTGAGGCTCTGCTAGGGACATTCTGGGGTGAGCATCCTGTTGTAGGTGGTTACTCCACATCTGCTGCACACCTGAATACTCCAAATAAAGACTCATCAAGGGGTCAAAGTTGTCTCTAGGCTCCTAGGTGGCTTTGTGTACCTGTATTCTGTCATGCAACCGGTTTGCCCTGCTGGGAACTCCTTGTTGGTGTGAATTATTATTTAATTTTTTTTTCAGAACCGGGGATTGAACTCAGGGCCTCATGCTTGCCAGAGATGTGCTTATTCCACTGAGCCACCTCCCCACCCCCTATTATT